ACATAAAGATATATAATACCTAAACAATAATATAATAACACAACAATAAATTAATTATTATTTATTTATAAATAATAATTTTCTTTGTATTATTATTTATAAATTGATGTTAATAGATGTATTAATTAAATGAAAATATAATTGCTTTATTCTGAGAGATTACAAGTTGTAATACTTATGTTTTTAAACATAAATGAAAAAGATAAAAAATGTATAGATAAAACTTAAATTTGACAATGTAATTATCGCATATAAATAAAAAGCAGCGATTAAATAAATAATTTTATTTAAAATGTGAAATAAAATAAAATAAAATATGAAACTAATATAAGAGAGATTTAAATTAAAAAATATTTATGAATTTTTGTAATATATAGTTAATGTATATTTTTTGAAATTAAATTAAATATATTAGCTTTTAACATGGCATTGCGCATTGACACTCGGTATATAGCCAATTGTAGCGTTATCTAAAAAACAAATGAGTTAGTGAAAATTTGCAATGGTCGGTTTTTATCATTTTTCAGTTATCGCTCTACGTCCTTGTATTCTTGAATATATTATAGCGTAAATATTAATGAGAAAGTTTTTACATTGTTTTCAGACATATACATCCACATTCGTTCAGTTTAATAATTACTAAAATATATTACTTTTATTATCTGTCTTTACTTAAATGTTATGGATAAACATATCTTAAGCTTAATCAATTCACTTAAAGTTTGACATTGATTCTTTTAAAAATAAGAGTTAAAATTTAGACTTTGCATTTGTTGTTAACGTATAATATTATACTATCAATAATATTTTATTCAGTCCACTCAGTTTATCGCAAGCATCGTTAAAAGTGAACAATGTAGCACGTGTCGTACTTCTAAAATTTAAGTAATCTTCAAAATGTTTAAATATTTTGCAATCAATGGAGTTTCTGGAGCTTTTAATTATCAGTACTTGTAGGCTAACAATACTAAATAAATTTAATAAAATACTGTAATTTGTGTAACGTGATTTAGTATGAGAATCATTGGAATTACGTAATTATGTAATTTGTGATAATGCATGGCATCAAAATGTAATACAGGCAGTATGGAATTGAACCTCTAAATAAACGCTGTTTCAGGACGCCAATTCCGTCGAGACCGGACAAGTTGGAAGCGTTGTCGGTCAGCAGGGTCACGTCGGAATAAAATTAGGATGGATCCAAGGCGTTCTTATACCATGCCTGTTGAACATATGGGGCGTCATGCTGTTTCTGCGACTTTCGTGGATAGTCGCGCAGGCTGGTATTCTGCAAACCATCGCCATTATCGGAATATCGGCGGTCGTTTGCGTCATTACGACGCTTAGCCTCAGCGCAATTAGCACTAATGGGGAAGTAAAGGGAGGTGTGTTACGCATTCTGTAATTCTTTTTTTCCAAAGGAGTGGCGTCGTGCACACCATCACTCTATATACAATTGTGTCGTTAGACGCTCGGGGTTTTTCCCTGAGCTAGAAGATTCTCATCAGAATTATTTATCCAATTTAGCCGGGGCAATTTGTCTTGATACAAGAAAACATGATTATCATTCTTCTGAATTTTATCGTATTTCTTGTCTATTAAAGGGATTACGATTCATACGACAGAATAGTAATGAATATGTCAGAGATGAAATTATTAATTTAAAAATAAAGATTACTTCAAAGTCATTAAAAAAATTGGATGTAAAGACATGGAAAGCTTAATCTTTCATCATCATATAAATTTTTTTTTAATAGATTTAATAAATTATCTTTTAATCCAAATGTGCTAGAAAATCCTGTTTTTAACTAATTTTAAATAGAGTCTGCTTTATTCGTAGCTTAACAATATTCTGACAAATTTTTGATAAATTTCTGACAAAATCACAAAATCAATTTCAAATAATTTAAACAATTATCAAACATTCTATTTATTAACCTTTATTTATTAAGAATATTGTTGATAATTAGAGATAGAATAAAATGAATTGATCTACAGGTGGGATATACTTCATCATCTCTCGTTCTCTTGGACCCGAGTTTGGCGCATCAGTTGGCATTGTATTTGCATTTGCAAATGCTGTAGCAGCTTCTATGAATACTATCGGTTTCTGTGATTCCCTTAATGATTTGTTAAAGACACACAAATTGAAGATCATAGATAATAGCGTAAATGATGTTAGAATTGTTGGTATATTAGCGCTCATCGTTATGATTCTTATCTGTGCAATCGGCATGGAATGGGAATCAAAGGTATTGGATCTGCTAAAATTATTTTATTTATATACATATTGAATTTTTTAAAATTCGTTATAAAAATGATAAATTGTTACAAGAATGACAATTTGATATTTGTTTTGATTTGTTATTAATATCTTTTGCGCTCTTTCATTAGGCACAAAATTTCCTTATAGCCATCATCGTGAGTGCGATCTTTGATTTTTTAATTGGTACTATCATGGGACCACAAAATGAGGAACAGAAAGCGAAAGGTTTTATAGGATTTTCCGGTTAGTATAAAACTACAATTAAATAGAATTTTGTTTATCTACGTTATATTTATACAAGTTTATGGTTAGTTTCAAATATACAAATTCGTAGCTGACCTTTTATTGTCTGAACTACAACGCCGTAGTTCGGATAACAGAAGCTGGATGTATTCGACTTCAGTTTTCTAAATGTTAGTTCCCATTATCGTGACTAATAAGGACTGGCAGAGTTAGTGAACTTCTATTATCTGAATTCTGTTATCGGAACTGTCTTGTCCCCCAATATCTTTAGATAAACGAAGTTCTACTATATATAATGAAACAATAATAGCAATATGATGTGAATCAAACGAAATGCATTTATCGAAAAGATTGTTTTAATAAAAATAAAATATATTAGGTTGAGTAAAAAGTCATCGCGTATTTTTTAGCTCAAAGTTGTATATACAATATCTTCGTCAATAATGAATGAAATTCAAATTTAAAAAAAGGATTTTAAAGCTTGAAATCTCTACTTTTAAAAGCTTATCACATTTTTTAAGTTTATATGAGTTTGATAATTTTTACATACCAAAAACTACGAGCTGAAAAAGACGAAAAATTTTCTTCTCACTTTGTGGATTTGTAACGTGTCCAAAACGAATTTGAGAAAATTTTCGATTACCTATCGTGAAAGCTTGATACTTTCCCTATAAAATCGTTTTTTTTTTAATATTCCTACGACTTTTGATTACTGAGTTATCGCGGATTAAATAAAAGAATTATTTTGACTTTAATTGCTCATAACTCCATTAAAAATTGTCGTATCGTATAATTTAAAAAAGAGATTTTTAAAGCTGAAACTTTACTCTATCAAGATATATTTATATTGTTGGTAAGAAAGTAATTGCGGTTTTTACTGATAGATGTCTTTTAAAAAAACGCGATGACTTTTTACTTAACCTAATATTAATAAAATATATTAATATATAATATTAATATATTAATAAAAATATATAATATATTACTTCTAGCGGACGTATTTATGGCTAATCTCGGATCAAATTATCGTTACTCTGAGAAAAACAATCAAACTTTCTTTTCGGTGTTTTCCATCTTCTTCCCATCTGTCACCGGGATTCAAGCGGGCGCTAACATATCTGGTGATTTGAAGGATGCAGCGAGCAGTATACCTATCGGGACTCTTCTCGCTCTGTTGATATCCATGTTTAGTTATGCAACTTTTGTCTTTTTTGCCGGCGCCGCAGCTGCTAGAGATGCTGGTGGTTTTGTAAATAGTACTGTTGTGAACTGTATTCCTGAGTTTAACTGCACGTACGGACTGCACAACAGTTATTCAGTATGTTAATATTTAAAATATTAATAAAGATACAATGCATTTAAAAATTTTTATTATTTAATTTTAAACAATATAGTCTCAGAGCTGAAATGTATTATTTTTCGCAGTAAAAGTATTAAATTAAGAATTGATCTAAATTTATTCGCAAATTAATTTCAAAGACCATAAATAAATAATAAAACTTACAATGTTGAATTCTTCAACTAATATGCTTTACAAAAATATGCAATATAAGATAAAACTATTAAAGAAACTATCTGATTTGGTAAATAAGATGGATTTAATATTTATATATTTAATTATAAATTGTTATAATTATAAATTGTTTAATACTAATTATAAATGTTTATTTTAAAAAAATTATTTTCAAATTTAAAAAAAATTGTAAAAAAGTAGCAATTGTTAAATATTTTTATTTAATAAGTCAAATTATTAATTAAAATATTAACGATACAATTTATAGAAAATATTATTTTTCTCAGGTCATGCAGTTAATGTCATTATGGGGTCCTCTAATTTATGCAGGCTGTTTCGCAGCTACTTTGTCGACAGCGTTGACCAATTTACTATCGGTGCCAAGACTCATTCAGGCTCTGGGTCAAGATCGAATTTATCCCGGGCTGATTTACTTCAGCAAGAGATACGGAAAGTCCGGGGAACCCTATAGAGGATATGTTCTTACGTTTGTTGTTGCGGCACTCTTTCTCTTAATCGGTAAAGTATTTGTTCCGAAATGTTACGAACTCATTAGCAGATATCAAATTTCTATTATCATTAATTTTCTTTTCTAAAAACTCTTAATCGTTTCCCTTTCAGCCGATCTCAACGCAGTCGCACCACTCATCTCGAACTTCTATTTAGCGTCATACGCTTTAATCAATTTCTGCACTTTTCACGCAGCGTTAATTCGACCTCTCGGATGGCGGCCTAGTTTTAAAGTAAATTAGAAATTTAGTTAATTAAATAATACAAAAATTATAAGAAAACGATGCTCTCTAATGACACTTAATCTTCAATACTATTTGATATTTTTTAATCTCTTTCTTCTCGTGTATGCATTACATGTTTGAAAAAAAAAATTATTATAATGAAAAAAGGAGAATGAAAGATTTTTAATTATATTACTTTTTATTTGTTTTACCACATACTTCATTCCATATATTTTAAAATTATATAATTATTCTTCATTTATTTAAAAAAACTGATGGCATATATATGTACATACCTATTAAAAATTAAAGAACAGATTAGGTCTTTTAAGCATCTTTTTCAATGGAGTTAAAAATATACATGTAATGTCATTCATTTCTTCTTTTTATAGTACTACAATACTTGGCTGTCTTTGATGGGTTTTATTCTTTGCGTATCAATTATGTTCCTTATCGATTGGGTGACTTCACTCGTTACCTTTGTCATTATCTTCGCGCTATATCTAATAGTAGTTTACCGTAAACCAGATGTGAACTGGGGCAGTAGTACGCAGGCGCAAACTTTTAAGACTGCAATTTCCATCGTCTACAGGTATTATTTAAAAATATAATTTCTTCTGTTTACATTTCTGATTGTATTCTTATTAGAACGATTACAGACGACATGGTCAACTGTACACAATCGTTAAATACTGGCCTACATTCATATAATTCATCATGTACGAGTATATGTAATATTTGCTATTATTGGAGTACATTAACCATTTCGTCTGGAGTAGATTTAATTGGATTTCATGCTTAGGATTATAGAAATGCCTAAATTAATATCTATCTTTGTATCGTAATCTAATACAAATAAAATACCTACTTGGCATTTTTATCTAACTCTTATTCTGGAAAGTACTAATGTTATTTTATTTATTTCAATTTATATTTTAATTCAAAGTGAAGATTTCAATCTAAAATTTATGAAAACTTCTAGGTTAAACTCCATTGACGAACACGTGAAGAATTACGCTCCCAAAATTTTAGCACTTACTGGCCCGCCTGCTGCCAGACCAGCGTTAATACACTTAGCAAATCTCATTACGAAGAATAATTCGTTGCTAATTGCCGGCGAAGTTTTTCCGGTATTATATCGATTTAGCAATATAACTTTACGTTTATTTGTAATAGTTTACGTTATAAAATTGTGACGTTAAATTTTCAACATAATTTCAGACACGACTATCGTATCGAGTGCGCTCCGTACGCCTAAATAATGGTTCCTTCTGGCTGCAACAACAACGTATAAAATCATTCTACCACTTAGTGGATGACTTGAGTCTGGAACGAGGTGCTGCTGCATTGATGCAAGCAACCGGGATCGGTAAATTGGCTCCCAATGTAGTCCTCATGGGTTATAAAACCCACTGGTCGATGTGCAATCATAAAGATTTGCAGGAGTATTTCGATATTCTTCAGTAAGTTAATTAATTACTTACTTCAGAATTACTTCAAAATCGAAAATTGATGATGAGATAAATATTGAAATACATTTCAAGAGTTTAACATTCGTTTTCTCTTTAGCAATGCTTTCGATAATAAGTTGGCTGTAGCAATTTTGAGAATTGCCGAAGGTTTGGATTGCTCCGGCATTACAAATGGGGAAGACACAAACGGAGAGGATGATCACGGAGGTCTCGTACAGAGTAATTATAATTTGGCAGGTAATACTCTGATGCACGCTGACAGCAATCTCTCCATGAGTACGCAGATTCCCAGGGTACAAAGCGTGCCAACAATAGGTAAAAATCGATATTAAATTAAAATAAAAAAAGATTCCCAGCAAACACAAAGTTACATATAACATACCTGTTAGTCATAATTTCCCATTCAACAAAATATAAAATTGTTACATATAACTTCTGTTTGCTGGGTTATATCATTCCAATATTTACATTCATGAGTTAATATTCATAATTGATCATTATTTGTAATTATGTAAAAATATTGTATTAAGGCGAATTGTATTAAAACGAGTAGCTATTTCATTCCTTGCGAATATCTATAAGCAAAAACAATATATCTTGTAAACAGAAATTAGTTCTATTTAGTAAATAAACCATAGAAATGTAATTTAAAAAATGCAATCAATTTTTCAGTATACTTGTTTCTTGCATTTTATTATAATTTAATATCATTTTATAGGTACTTCATTTGTCACACCTGACACGACACCTGTGATTGGATATTCAACGATAAATTGGAAAGCTCACGATAATATAAAACAAAAAAAAAAACATGCTGTTGATAAATTGTTGTAAGTAAAACAAAATAAATTCTAATAATATCGAATATTTTCTTCACTAAATTTAGAATTAATCTTGTTTTACAAAAATTTAATCACACATTTTTTTAATTTGCTTATTTCCAATTTCTAATATTACATATTTTATTAACTAAATCAGGTTTTTGTTAAAGTGACTTAAGATTAATTAAGAAATTATAAAAATTATGCTATCTGATTTTTTATTTATTTATATTATTTGATTTATATTATTTATTTATTTGATTTATATATTAAACCTTATGTTCACCAAGAAAAGATTTATATATATATATTTTACAATTTTATAAAGTAAAGTTTTTTCAATAAAATTTAAAAATTCAGCAAAATTATGTTTCGTTTATTATTAATAATTGATCTTCAATTTTTTAGCGAAAGACGAAACGGCGGGATGGCTTCTATACCAGAAAATGTAACAATTTTCCAACAGAAGTACAAGAAAGGAACGATTGATGTGTGGTGGCTATATGATGATGGAGGTAACTTACAAAAATAAGCGGATGATTGGGGTATGTCGATTGATTGATTTGATATAGACGTACCTCAATCATCCGTATAAATTAAATTTTCTGGAATTTCCGGCTCATTTGTAAGTGGTAGAAGTTATTATTTGACAGGTTTGACGGTTCTCCTACCGTATATAATCAGCACGCGCGCAAATTGGAAGCATTGCAAAATGAGAATATTTGCTCTGACTAACCATAAGCATGATATTAGCGCGCAAGAAAAAGAGTAAGTAAATAATAAAAATATTAAATGCTACATATATACAAACAATTTATCAATAAAATTATTACGAGCAAATGATTTTATTAAAATGTAAATTAAGTATTTTGATATTATATCATTAATTATCTTGCAGGATGATTGAGATAATGAATAAGGCACGAATTAACTATAGCAGCTTGAAAATAGTAAATGACATTGGCGTCGAATTAAAAGAAGAGACACGAATTTTCTTTGATAAATTAATATCCGATTTTCGAATAAACGATTCTTCTTCCGTAAATGGTGGTAAGTTATTGCCATAATTTTCGTTTTTAGCGACATCATCAAATGTACATTTAATATTTAACATAAATAATTATTATTTTTAGAATGCTATATTACTGAGAACGAGCTTCAGACTCTACGAGAGAAAACCCATCGGCAATTGCGATTGCGAGAATTATTATTGGAAAATTCGAGTAAATCTACTTTAGTAGTTATGTATGTATAATGATTTATATTAAATGATTTTAGTAATCCTTATTACAGAACAATAAATATATATTGATGTATGTGTCTATTTATAATAATTCTTTATTTTTAATTATATTTCTTTAATATAAAAAAAAATAGTATTTAATATAAGACTGAAGAAATATCAATATATACGAATATATTTAAATATTTTTGAAAATATGTCTATAAAATATTTTTATAATATTCAAACAGATTTGTACATATACATCAGTATCATTCATAACTTCAGGAATGCTTGCGATTTTTTGTTTTTTATCAAAACTTAAGTGTTTTTTCGATGAAAAAAAGTTGTAGAGAAGTTTTTGAAAATGCAATTTGAAAAGGAAAAATGGAGTTTTTTTAAACACTGACGTTTAAATTTTGTCTCTACAATATTTTGTACCTAAATTATGTAAAAATATCGTAAGGGCAAAAATCAAACGCCAATTTGACTCTACTGTTCTTCTTTAAAATGCGTTTTTCAAAATTTCTATACAATTTTTTTTCATCGAAATATTTAAGTTTTGTAAATTGCGAGAAAATCGTAAGTGTTCCCAAATTTATACGGTATTGTATATCAATTATTTATATGAATACGTAACTCATATATTATTCACGTTACTCTTCCTTCATTACAATTTACGAAGAAGATTTTAGAATTTAGAATTTTATTCTCACTACACTATTATTAATAATTTCTTAAGCATATTTTTTTAATTTAAAGGTCTTTACCAATGCCAAGAAAGGGTGCAGTATCGGCACCATTATATATGGCCTGGTTGGAGACGCTTACGAAGGATATGCCACCCACGATTTTAGTCCGCGGAAATCATACATCTGTATTAACATTTTATTCGTAGTCCACCGAACATGGTCTAGTTACATATGGTACGTCTCAATAATAATAATAATAAAGTTAAAAATAAGTTTTAATTCAAAAACTAATTCCTTATTTTTATTTCTTAATATTGATTATTCAAATTGCATCTTTTTGATAGAGATATAAAGATAATTGTAAAATTTTTGCAAATAGTCTTTCTTCGAAATGATTAAGATCTTCTGTCAGCAATAAATGTGTTGTATGTTATATTAAAACGCTTTGTACTCGTTGTAGATATTTGTTGCCTGTTCCCATCAGGTTTCGAAAGTGGACTTGCATTGTCCATGCAAGTCGAAATGAAGAAATAAACGGAACAGCTTTTATCAGCTGACAGATAAAATTGTTGTACTCGAAGATTGTAACGATAAGCACAATGAAGAATGAAGAACTTTACTGGAGTTCGATTTTTAGTATGACACAAGATTCTCGTGTGGAAATTGAATATGACTTGAATGTCGTATATGGAGAGTATGCTGAAGATTATTAGCAACGAGAAGTTATGTCAGAGAAGAGTCTCTTAGTAGAATATTTTATCTTTATGTCGAATGATGAATGGAATCGAAGACATTTTCCAACCTAAAAAAGTCTCAGTTTGTTAAAGAAGTAGGTAGTGTGAAAGATGCCAACAAATGAATTTTGGCAGAAAAACTAGAATAATAAAAGTAGAAGCGGTGAGAAAGACATAATAGTGAAATAGTGAATATTAGAAAATGGGAAGAAGAATAAATGGGATGAAGAAATCAGGAATAATATTTTATGGAAAGGTTCCATTGTACTCGAAAGAACTTGGATTAGAAATATGTAGATATATGTATTATTGTAAATAACTTGTCTATTTTTTATTAAGTTTAAAAATGTAATAAAGTTTCTCTAAAACGTAACTATTTAAAATTTTAGACGTTATTAAAATCATTTGAAAAAAATTCTTATAAGTTCCTTGACTTAATGTAAAGACACGTGGTACGATTTCCAAATTGAAAGAAATATTTTTTATATTTTAAATTTTATAAAAATGTCGATATTAATCATTATTAAATCTTAAAACTCTAAAATTTAATAAAAACTTGAGAATTTATTATAAAAATTTGCAAATTTTGTATGATATAATCAAAACTCAATCATAAAACTCTAAGCTAGTCTCTATATAATAGTCTCAGTGTCAGGCTAGCACAACACAATCTTCAAAGATCTCAGCACAACGATATTAAGAGCACTTTACTTTTGAGCGCGACCCTTTGCGCTCGACTTTTCTGTGTTAAAATAATTAATCAGATTTGTGGTGCGCTTTGATATGAATAATACTTATATCTGAGTTGTGCTAAGCTAGCATAACATAACACAACTCGTAGAATTGGATTAGATATATATCTGTCGGCGTTTGCTTACACGATTTCAAGTTGTTTCTTTTTATCTAACTTTATAAATTTTTTTATCGAAACGGAATGAGATATTGGAATTTTGTCGACCGCACAACACGACACAAATATAGCATAATACCATTATAATTCTGAAAATTACAAAATTCGAAAGTGCGGGGCTAGCAAAAATTTGATTTTCTAAATTTTTTAAAATACTTTTTATGTTAATAGCTGCGGTTTGCAGCATAATTAAGAAAAATACAAAATTTGAAAACAGGGCAAACTTCATACATGTCAAATGGCTATGGTTTTGTAATCAAAATCTTATCGAGTTTATTGCTAATTTGCTAACATTTTGTTTAGAATGTACAAACTCGATAATTATGAAAAAATATACACAAATATCAAAGAAATTTAAAAAAGCAAATGCAAATTAATCATAAAAAAAAAGAACAAAGATTAATATTAGGTTAAGTAAAAAGTCATCGCGTTTTTTTAAAAGACATCTATCAGTAAAAACCGCAATTACTTTCTTACCAACAATATAAATATATCTTGATAGAGTAAAGTTTCAGCTTTAAAAATCTCTTTTTTAAATTATACGATACGACAATTTTTAATGGAGTTATGAGCAATTAAAGTCAAAATAATTCTTTTATTTAATCCGCGATAACTCAGTAATCAAAAGTCGTAGGAATATTTAAAAAAAACGATTTTGTAGGGAAAGTATCAAGCTTTCACGATAGGTAATCGAAAATTTTCTCAAATTCGTTTTGGACACGTTACAAATCCACAAAGTGAGAAGAAAATTTTTCGTCTTTTTCAGCTCGTAGTTTTTGGTATGTAAAAATTATCAAACTCATATAAACTTAAAAAATGTGATAAGCTTTTAAAAGTAGAGATTTCAAGCTTTAAAACCCTTTTTTTAAATTTGAATTTCATTCATTATTGACGAAGATATTGTATATATAACTTTGAGTTAAAAAATACGCGATGACTTTTTACTCAACCTAATATGTCGCAAATGTTTTGCTACTTATGGACGACCTGATTCGATGAATAAATATTTAAGAAAAGATATGCAAATATAGTGATAAGAGAGAAAGAGAGAAGGAAAAAATAAAAAACAAAAGATATTAAAAATAAAAGAAATAAAATAAAGTAAAACTATTTAGCGTTTAGAAAAAGCAGCTTTGCAACTATTATAAAATTCTTTCACGTAAATAGTTTTTACATTTAGATCCAATAAGAACAAAATCACTAAGGATAATCATATTAAAAAATTTTACAAGAAGCTACTTTTTCTGCTGAACGCAGCCAATGGCATGTTCAAGCCGGATGAAGCTGCTAACCGATTGAATGTGATTGGGATCTATAAGTATAATCGATCATATTCACTTGCTCGGCGACACTACAGGTGAGCAGAACGCTAGCCGCTAGCTGCTTTGTCGACTTGTACGCGTTCATTATTTCGTCGGCAGAGGTGGGGAGTATTTGAAGTACATGTACTTAAAATATGTATTTAAATACATTTTTGTATTTTGTATTTCGTATTTTAATACTATTTTTTTAGAGTATTTTATATTTTGCATTTAAATACTTTTTTTTTAATATTTCGTATTTTAAATTTGTAAATAGTAAATATAGTTAAATTATGTAAAAATTTTTTTGATAAAAGTTAAAATCCATTTTGTTGACTCAATCTAAATTCCATTTCACGCATGATGTGCATAATGCATCATTTCCTTGTTTACATTTGGTGAACAACCTCTATTTAAATACATTTTTATTTTATCGAGAGTATTTTGTATTCCATATTTGAATACTTTTTTGAAAGTATTTTGTATTTTGTATTTAAATATAATTTTTTTTAGTATTTTGTATTTGAATACAATTTTTCGAATATTTTGTCCACCCCTGCTCGTCGGTATAACAAGCATATTATCAGAGAGGGTTTCTCTCTGATATTATCCGTTGAAAATGTTTGTAAAAATGGCTATGTCAAGACACATTTATGTACATAGAGGCGCCAGTGGACGGATTCCTTTAAAGTCATTAGATTTATGAAATACTGCAACCGTGTTAAGTCCAATATAGCGGCAATTTCAAACCTGATGTATTGGGATGAATTTGTATTAATGACGGAAGACATTAAAGTATTAATCAATTATATTTATAAGCAATGTTTATCGTTATAAATAAATACAACTGATTAACACTTCAATGTCTTCCGTTAATCACACAATAAATTCATCCCAATACATCAGTTTAAAATTGCCGCTATATTGGACTTAACATGGCAAACGGCTGAGGTACTTTATAAATCTAGTGACTTTAGATTCCTTGATTCATTCACGGCTTCCACCATCCACTATTGGCACTGCCACATCTCCAGATTTCCACTGATTTCCACCCACCTAGAACTTAGGTTTGTGGTCTACTCAGTCTACTATCAGTTTTCTTTCTTTCTCTTATTGCTTATAATTACTTGTAATCAATTGTAACGATAACACATGAAGTTCTGAAGATGGAGAAAAGTATTAGTAAAATACTTGATATATCATGGAGATTTGGAGGTGAGACAATAGCTGGATTATAAACAAACTATTATCGTTTGTCACATTATATTCTTAGGTTATTCTCATGTCACATTAAACTTTGAATGACTAGTGTATTATCAATACAAATACCTAAATTTGTATTAATTTTTTATTAGACCTGTTAAGTAAAAAATAAAAATATTCTATTTTTTAACGGTTATACGTTAATATAAAAATTGTATATATTTCCATTTTAAATCTTACATTCGATTAACCGCAGTAGTAAATAATTAATAAACAAAATAATATGATATAATTTGATATAAATTATACAAATGTTATTTCCAAAGTTGTAATCTTATAGTAGATTAATATTCTCATGTGATGTCAATCTCATTAATGAATAACTATGCTACTTTTCAATTCTTTTAGTGACTACAGCAAGTAATGATTGCGACAATGTTGCAAAGTCATTTCTACAACTTAAGTTATGTCTTGAGGATGATGGTGTAGTCAAGAATGTGTTTACTGAAATGACAATAGGACAATTTTATAAATTTCTACATGATTTGGAAAAGGCAAAATGCAATCTTGATTTGTTGTTGTAAACAAATATATGCAGATTAAGATATTACATGTAGATATTAAGATGTATTACATTTAAAACTCAAGCAATTGTTTTTGAAAAATTTTTTTTATATTTTCTTATTATCTTTTTTTATTTAAAACAAAAATATTTACTATCTTAAAAATTTAATTAAAAAATTTAATTTATTTCTAGTAAGATGGTAATATTTTGATTAACATTCTTTAAATATTATTCGCCAAGATTCTAATTTTAATATTATTCGTTTCAATAATTAATATGAAATTTACAATATATCCCAGATAGTAAATTGACATTATTTGTTATCATTTTAATATTAAAAGAAGATTTAAGCTATCATTTTGATATTAAAATAATAAATAACTATTGCTATCTGGGGTGGTTTAGTTAGACTATACTTTCCTAGTATAGTCACTAGGAAATTATAAACATTAAGTTACATAGGAAACTACTAAATATTATTTGAATTTTTACTTATAAGTTTTAATTTGTACAAAGACATTGTATGGTTTAAGCGCTGAACTAAACTGGAGCTTGAAGAATGAGAATTTTTCTTTATAAAGCAAAATTAAATAATTTACAATGTTCTATATTGTAACATTAGAATTATGAATTGTAAAATACAATCCAAGTCTAATTTTATTCCTTATATTTTTTTTATAATTTTCATCTGTCATAGCTGCAGTTTAGTAAAATTTTTATATGTTGTATATATTTCAGTTTATAAATTTTTGACAAGTAATTAAATAAATATAGTAAATAATTAAATAAAA